GTACTGCCTGCAACCCACCACTGAAACAAGGGCTACAAAAATTGTGTTATTTGTATAAGTTATCCTAAATGATTCTAGAAAGATGCCTAATTTTGTTATAACTTTCCAGATAAGAATCCTAGACATCTAATGTGATATCATCAGATTTCGAGAGCCTTGAAGTTTTTGTGTGATTGGACAACTGTTCTTAACATTTGTTAAAATATGTACATGGCACTACGGAAACGTTAGGAAGATACAAGTTCTAAATGTGAACTATTCATTATGTTTTTTATTATTAACTTGCAGCTAATTATCCCTCCAGTTGTTTTATACACAGAGTTAAGGTTTTTGTAAGCAAATATTTTGAAGACATGAGGAAGGCCTCCCGACCATTTGGTATCTGAAGAGTTCGAATCCTTCCACCGTGAAGGCAAATAATCATTTGTACATAAATGTTTTATGTACCGCAAGGATATAGTTGACATTGTAAAAAAAAGGTTATTTTCCTTGCGTTTGGAGGGACAGGTGGCAGGTCCAGAGTCTTGCTAGGATCATGTTTTATAGCATTTCCATGGGTCTGAAATGTTGCATTTGACCAGCATATGGCATAGGCAAGCCTCATCTTGACCAAACTCTTTTGTTATCTTGTTATTGTTACAGGTCTTAATGACAGTTGTAAGCCACAGTCCTGGAGGTAGGGGGTGGTCTACCCTGGGGAGAAGAGGGAGAAACAGCAGTGTGGATTATGGAAATATGAATTGATCTAAGAAACGGCTCTCTTGTCATAGAATGGAGCTCAAAGAAAGACAGGAGAAAGTGGAGAAAAGACGAAGGAATATGATGTGAAAATGATCATTTGAATGCTTTCCTTTTCATTACCAGCTGCTATGTTCTGGTGAAAAGGCATGCATTTGTATATCTTAAGGGTGGGTGAAAAGGGGCCAGATGAATAGAATTACTTGTTAGATATGTTTTCATTTTGAGCTAGATAAATTATGTGCATTTTAATAGACTGTATGCATATGTTACTCATTTTTATAGTACAGCTGTAATATTTGACACTACTTAATGAAAAACAAAAATGCTTATTTTTTTTTAACCAAGTGTAATTTTTAATTGGAAGAACTCTGCAGGTTCTAGAAGGAATTGTTTTTGTTATCCTGCGTAAAAATCGGAAATTGTTCTTTTCTTTTTTCAATTTGTTCTTTTTATAGCTGCAGATATCAAAGCAGTTAGTTTACTTTCATTCATATTTTTCTGAATACTATGTTTTAATGCTGTGTTGTTCATGTAATCTGGGGGCTCTCAGCCTGTTTCTGATATGATTTAAATAGGATGTTTTTTCTTGACCGTTTTTCCAAAAATTGTGATATATGAAATGCTATTCTTGAAACTTTCATTGGTATCTGATTTCCATGGTGCCCTTTCTGTTTTCTGTTGTGTTTCACACATTTTAAAACAATAGCTAATAGCTGCTCTTTGCCTTGTAATGCTTATATAAATTGGGAGCAGACTGAAAATTCATGATCTAGTATTTCATTCCATTGCTCAATCCACACTTATTTTAGTATTCACAACTTCCATATGGTGTTTCTAAAGCCCTGCAAAATGCATGCATTTGTATATCTTCAAGCTGGAGGGAAAGGTGTGAGATTCCCTTCTGTCTCTGTTCTCCTATTTTCATGTAAAGATATGATGGTGTTATTGGATAAATTATTCATTTTTCTTACTATAGGCACCCTAAGCCCCACTAATTCGATTCCATACCAGTATGACTCACAGAAGGTGGTTTTTGAGTCTTCCTGTGTTTGCCAACCACAGGATGTAGTGAAATAGCTGCATATAACAACTCCACGTCAGGTGTGCGCCCATTGTTTGGATACTGTTTCTGCAGAAGCTCTCTACGTATTCAGTCCTATAACTGTTTTTTTCTGGTCTGGCTTTCAGTTAATATGTCTAGAAAGCTTTTTTATATTCCCCCCCCCTTGCAATGTTGTAAGAAAACTTAAACTTTGCTCTGAAGTAGGCTAACTAGTAGGCTAACTGTACTAGTAGGCTAACATATACATATAAGAGCCAAGGTGGCGCAGTGGTTAAATGCAGCACTGCAGGCTACTGCTAGATCAGCAGGTCAGCGGTTCAAATCTCACCGGCNTCACTTTTCCTCATCAATTATATTTGGTGTTCCATTTTCCTATTTTGGTCAAGTTCTTTGTCTATTAGCTATTGATTTTAAAACCAGCTAATGCAGTAAAATCTGCTAATGTTTCCATTAATATTTTGATTTCTTCCAAAAGGCTATACAATTACGACAAAACTATCAGCAAAGTTCTTCTTACCTCAGGTTTCTGTTGTGCTCTAGGATACATATTCTATGATTTTATTTTTCTCCATAGTGTGGGAAGTAACATCCAGACTGGTTTGACATCATCCGCTTATTGATTGGACTGAGTCTGATAAGACTGTTAAGCCATGCCCTTGTCACTAGACTGACCCAGCTTTTGACTCAGTCCCTCAATGAGGACAGATATGTCATTAAGCGCTCCAGTTGGATTTCAAAAACCTTCAAAATTATTGGTATTTTCTGGATTGCAAGTTTGTGAGTACAGCTGGGAGTTACACCATTAACCTCTGCATTGGGGTGGTGTCAGGCGCGTCTTTATCCCCATGTGGGTGGCGGAGAACTCCATTTCCCCTCAGAATGAGCTGTCATCCTGTAGGGAGGCTTGCCTTTGGCCAGATCGGGGAGAGATCGCAGCCCTTTCAGCCCCGGAGTCAGATTCCCAGCTATAAGGTTTTCCTCCTGTGTGGATTTTTCATGTGCATCTGAAGATCTGATGATCAGATAAAAATCTTCACATTCTAAGCCCTGATAAAAGTTTCCTTCCAGTAAGAATTGCTGATGCTGAAAGAGTATTTTTCCAGGCAAACATACATCTCACTTCAAACATTTAAACTGTATCTTTTGCTATATGGAATAGAATGTGGTTTTTAAGAGACAATTGACAAGAAAATGCTCTCTCACAATCTGAGAGTTCCTAATTTTTGTCGCCTTTATGGACTCTTATATGACTTCTAAGAGTTGAACAATTATGAAAAACTGTTCTACTATCAAGGCCTATTACGGCTTTTTCCATGTCATTTTTCTCATGTCTCCCTTTTGAACAAAACATTACCACACTCATTGCATCTCTATGGCTTCACTCGTGAATGGACCTTTTGATGCCTTCCAAGGTGTTCTTTTCGGGAAAAACCTTTCCCACACTCCATACACGGGTATGGCTTCTCCCCCGTGTGGGTTCTCTGATGAACCTGAAGCTGTGTTGCTCTAAGAAAACCTTTGCCACATTCCCCACATTTATAGGGCCTCTCTCCTGTGTGCTTCTTCTGATGTCTCTGAAGTCCAGCAGAATCCACAAAACCTTTCTCACATTCTGAGCATTGATAGGGTCTGTCTCCAGTGTGAAGTTTCTGATGTCGAATTAGGTGTCCCTTCTGAACAAAACATCTTCCACAGTCTGGGCATTGATGGGGTCTTTCTCCGGTGTGAATTCTCTGATGTTTCCGCAAGCATGATTTGCTGGCAAAACATCTCCCACATTCTGGGCATTGATGGGGTTTTTCTCCAGTGTGAACTCTCTGATGTTGATTTAGCTGTGACTTTGTGTTAAAACATCTCCCACATTCTGAGCACTTTTCATTTTTTTGCACAGGCTTGGAAGGCTTCTCTCCTTTGTGAATCCTCTCATGTTTTCTAAGATAATATTTGCAACGAAAAGATTTCTCACACTCTGGACATTTATATTGCTTCTCTAAGTGGCTTCTCTGATGCATCCAAAGTGTATCTTTACGGGTAAAAGATTTCTCACACACTGAGCATTTGTGGCATTTCTCACCCGTGTGGGTTTGGCAGTGAATTCTAAGAGATGATGAACGACCAAATGCTTTCCCACATTCTAAACATTTGAATAATTTTTCTCCTCTGTGAACATTCGCATGATTTCTAAGGATTTGTATTGTACGAAAAAATGTTCCACACTCAATGCACATATAGGGCTTCACCCCTGTATGGATACTCTGATGTTGAGAAAGATATGACATTTTTAAAAAACATTTATCACAATCCTTACATTTATATAGCTTTTCTCTCCTGTGCGTCTTTTGGTGTCTCTGAAGGCGAGAAGAATTGACAAATCTTTTCTCACATTCTGGGCATTGATAGGGTTTTTCTTCAGTGTGAAGTTTGTGATGTCGAATTAGGTGAGACTTTCTGCCAAAACATCTCCCACATTCTGGGCACTGATGGGGTCTTTCTCCTGTGTGAAGTCTCTGATGTCTGATTAGGCATGATTTATAGCCAAAACATCTCCCACATTTTGGGCACTGATGGGGTATTTCCCCAGTGTGAATTCTCTGATGTCGAATTAGGTGTGATTTACATTTATATAGTTTTTTCCCCCAGTGTGTTCTTTGGTGTCTCCGAAGTTCAGCAGACTCCACAAATCTTTTCTCACACTTTGGGCATTTATAGGGTCTATCCCCAGTGTGAAGTCTCTGATGTCGAATTAGGTTTGACTTTCTGCCAAAACATCTCCCACATTCTTGGCATTTGTGGGATTTCTCCCCAGTGTGAATTCTCTGATGTTTCAGCAGACATGATTTGCTGGAAAATGATTTCCCACATTCTAGGCACGTTTTGCTTTCGTCCTTTGTATGTACTTTATTATGTTGGCAAAGAGATGAGTTCTGAGTGAAACACTTCCCACATTCTAGGCATTTATAAGGACTCTGCACTGTGTGAATTTTCTCATGTCTTCTAAACAATTGTTTATAACGGAAAGATTTCCCACACTTCAGACATTGATAAGGTTTCCCTGCCGTGTGGATTTGCTGATGTTTAAGCAGCTGGGAGGTTTGGGAAAAGCACAGCCCACATTGCATACATTGATGCCGTCTCTCAGGAAATCTTCCCCAGTGCTTCCAGGACTCCTGAGATCTCTTTCCCTGGTGGATTCGCTGATGGGTTCCAAGGTCCGAGCCATTAGCAAAACGCTCTCCGCACTCTCCGCATTTGTAAGGCTTCAGTCCAGGGTGGCTCCGGAGATGTTTGGCAAAGCTCCACACTCCAGGAAAGGATTTCCCACAAAGGAAACACAGTTGAGATCCATTCCCCGTGTGCAGTTTCCGGTGGATCAAAAAGAGGGAACGGTAAGCAAAGGATTTCCCACAATCGGAGCATTTGGAGTCTCTCTCATGATTCCTCTGGGGGGAACTTTGGCCAAAGTGTTTCCCCCTCTGCATAGTTTCCAGAGGCTGCTCACTTCCACGACTTTCTATTGAAGGAAATTCGAACAAGCAGAACTTTGGCCAAAAGGTTGGAAGATGGGCAGGAGGAGGGGCTCCAGCATGAGTCCAAAAGCTGAGAAGACGAAACCTCTGGTCCTGGTGACTGACCCAGATTGGATCCTGCAAGCAGAACTTTGTGCAAAGGTTTTCCTGGTGGCACCTGCAGGATGAAGAAAAAAGAAGTGAAGCAGAGAGGAAGATTTATTTTCTTCAGCTCTCCAAATAGCCCAAACCACAGCTGGGAGACAGCCCTCGCCCCCCTATATGAACACTGGTGAGGTCCTCAAAGCCTCTATTCCCCCCACTCACCCAGAATGAAAGCCATGCTGGGATGCCCCCTGTGGAGCTGACCTCCCCTCCCCTTTTCTTCATATGATGAGAGAGATGGCTGACAGAATCCCTGTTGCCCCCATTTGCCTGCCTGAACTGGAGATGAACCCTGCCTTTTCCTTTTGCTCAGTTTGGGTGGGAGAGATGATACTATATGATGTGAGAGAAACTGAAAAGATCCCTCATAGGATTTATATGTTCCAAGTAGAGCTAATTGTGTACAGAGTACAACCCATGTAGGTATTCATAGACCCTGTTCTTTGGGCCAGCACACATTGAAGATGTCTCCCAGCTAGAATGGCTTCCTATTGTTGCTTTATAGTTAAGGGACGATGTAAATACATTGATTGGGGCCAGCAATGCAGTTTGAACACAATAGGGAACAAACAATTCCCATTTAAAAAAATTGACCTTAGAATATATGGACCTAAAGAGGAAGA